CCCCCCCCATCTCTCACTCTCTCTCTCTCCCGCTCTCGGCTTTGTGGCCCCTCGTTCCCTCGCAGCAACCGCCGACGGTGCACGTCAAGAATGCCGACATGTCGGACGAATTCCGTGCGGCCGCCTGTGAGGTGGCCATCGAGGCGATAACCTCCTTCAAGCTTGAGCGCGAAATCGCTGCCCACATCAAGAAGGTGCGTTTTTTTTCCTGGCCTCCTCCCTTTTTTCCCCGCTCAGTTGTCCCTCTTGGCGATTGCTGCTTTGCCTGTTCTGACCTGTCGCCTGGGCCCATCTCCCGCATGCGTGGGCAGACCTTCGACCAGCGTTACGGCAAGACCTGGCACTGCATCGTCGGCAAGAGCTTCGGTTCCTATGTGTCGCACGACTCGAGGCACTTCATCTTCATGCAGATCGACCGGCAGAACATCCTTCTCTTCAAGTCCGGTTGATTGGCTGACAGGCTGACTGGTTGACTTCTCCCCTGCTTCACAATTCCTTTGATGGCCCTCTCTCTCTCTCTCTCTCTCTCTCTCTCTCTCCCCCTGTCTCTGTCCCTCCTCGATGTTTTCCCCGTGTCCTCTTGTTCCTGGTCACAATTTAAAAATACAAGCACTCAGTTGTTCTCCCGGTCCTTATTTTCCCCGTCTCCTCTTCTACGCCTCCTCTTCCGAGCCAGAGAGAGAGCCCCCCTTGGTCTGTTTGCTCGTTTCGGTCTCGCCATGTGTCGGTGCCCTCCGTGCATTTGGTGTTCCCCGCGGTGCACACACACATGGCGCGGGGGTGACAAATCTAATTTACAGTATATTGTGGCGGTCATCTCTCCACCCGAGAGGAGCGCCCCCCAGGGGAGGGCCACGCACAGGATTGTGTGTATGTAAGTGTGTGTGTGTGTGTGTGTGTGAGGATAATGTGAGACGGTGGTGTCACCGGCAGCGCCGCCTCCGGGACGCGACGCGACGCGACCAAAGGCGAGGATAGTCCCGACAGCGCCGGGTAAGGGGCACAAGCAGAAGCCGAAAACCACAGCATGGGCACCGCTCCTAGCCTGGCCTGGCCCGGTGACAAGAGCTCGGGGATCCCAATATGGACAAGAGAAAGCAAGAATATGAAGATGAGGGGGAGGAAGGGGGGGGGGGAGGGGGGGAAGGCGAGGCAGAGACAAGTGCCGGGCTCCGACAGGACGAAGACGCGTGTGCGCGCGCCCGCGCCGCTCGGAAAAGGATGGCAAGGCGGGAGGGAGGGGGGCCAAGCGCGATGGTGAACATGATTCTGTGTGACTGTCACACGCGTGCGCGCCGAGCCCCATCGGAGCCGGCCCGACAGCATCTCGCCACCACCCTGCGAGAGGGCACTACTCCGGGAAGAGGCTCCACCGGGTGCGCGCGGCCGAGATGGCCATCTCATACAGGAGGAAGTTAATTGCCCCCCGTGGAACGCTGGAGGCCAGCCGAGCGAAGCAGCCCCGGTAGAAGCCCCCGAGGCCGGCCGTACGCCACAGGTAGCGGACTTGGTGCAGGGCCCCGGTGTTGGGCCGGTGCCGGGGGCCGAGGCTGGCACCGACGGCCCCGGCGCCATTGCCACCCGAGGCCACCTCCATCGGGCTGCTGTTTGTGGACACGACGCCGGTTTGCACCCGAGCGCGGATGGTATCCACCGGGGCCAGGACCGCGGCCATGACCCCGCCGGCGATGCCGCCGGACAGGAGATGGTTCGCGAAGTGGTCCTGGTGGATGGGGAGCGACACGCGGGAGAACTCGCTGACTGCCCACCAGATGGCCGACGCCGGCATGTTGTAGGCACAGGACATGAGGGTGCCGCGCCAGAAGCCGAGAATCCCATCCGCCGCATAGATGGATCGGACAACCGACACGCCGGTGGGCAGCGGCCGGGTGGCCGGGTGGGCGACGGTGCCGGACCCGGCGCCCGGGGTCAGGGCGCTGGGATTGGCGCCCAGCCCGGTGGCCTGGGTGCAAGCTGGCGAGAGCAGATCCCCCGCCTGCAGGCGCTGGGAAATGATGTCATTGGGATTGGACAACAGGACGCTGGCCATGTCGGCCAGGGCGCCGGAGAAGGCGTGTGCCGCGGCGTCGCCGAGCCGCGCCCCGGCCCACCCCCGGCGGCCGGGTCGTCGGTCGCCGGGCGCGACGTCAATTCGGTCTTGGTCCAGGTGTAGACATACACATAGACCACCCCGCCCGGGACATTGCCAATGGCATTCCAGGTGAAGCCCCGAAAGAGGGCGGTCCCCGCACCGCGGGCATACTGCAGCGCGGTCGGGACGTCGGCCAGGGCAGCTCGCGCCGAGGTGGCCAGGGCGGTCGAAGGCCCGACCAGGGCCGTCGGGCTGCCAGCCAGGGCAGCCAGGCGCCGGGCACCGCCAGCGGTGGCCACGGCCCGCAGTTCGGCCCACGTGCCGCCCACACGTCGGGCCATCGGGCCGGCCTCGGAGGCGCAGGAGATTTGCTGTCGCGTGCGCACCAAGTCCAGGGGATAGAGCATGGCGATTTCGACCGCGCTCAGCACCGCCGAGGCAAAGAGAAACTTGCCCGGGTGTACGCCCTCCCCCAGCGAGCCGGATAGGATGCTCGTCGGGGTGCTGCCACTGCCTGGTGCCGGGGTGGGGTTTGGATGTGGGCTCGGAGCCGGGGACTGGAATCTGGCGGCCTGCAGGGGGTCGATGGCCGAGCCGAGCCCGGCCACCAGGGGGAAGCTCCACCCGGAGGGCGGGGGATCAGTGGCGCCGGGAGGGCGACATGGCAGGGAAGTGGGCTGCTGGGCGAAGGCCGGCGGCGGGCTCGATTCAGAGGCCGGAGGGTGGAGCATTCGCTGGTCGGGCACG